CCCAAGAAGGAGTGATGGGTCCCTGAGTGAACTCCTGTTTAAGTAACACCTAAATTCCAGATGGCCGACAGGAAACAGTGCAGGACAGTGACCGGGTCCACAGCAGGGCCCTCCTCCTGCTGCTGCTTCAATCGCTCATCTAGACTGAGAACCTGGGGACTTCTGAGGTGTGCCAGAGGGTGGGGACCCACCTGCCTGTGTTGAAGAAAGAAAACAGATTCTAGAGACAAATGAACCTCTCAGGGCTCAATAGAAGAGTGATGTGTGTGGTGCTTGTGCAAGTGAGATGCAGCTCTGAACTCTGCCATGGAAGCTGTGCTCTGTGACAAATGTGCTATGAATGACTCGTCCTGAAACCATGCCAACATGTAGGTGCTGCTATCACAACATTTGATGACTTCAACTTACTGTGAGCGTTCTTGTGATAAATCGTGGAAAACCTTGCTTGTGCTATCTTTAGTCACTGCAATGTTTCACAAGTCACTCACAGCTCTAAAAATACAGTTTATATCATTGGATTCCTGGAATTCTTTCAGTTCTTACATTCTGATTTAAGTGGCATTAAAGCTGGGCTGTATGGTTCAAGGCTGCAGGCTGATATTTCACTCTGGATTAGATATCACCTGGGTTCAATACAATGTTTGCAATATTTATTTAATTTGGATCCAAAGGTAATTTGGGAAATCTTCATGTAGATACAGCTCGTACCTGGCTATGTGGAACAAGGGCTGGATTTTGTTTGGGACTAGATAGTAATTTAATAACCTTTCCAATATAGAATTAAACTAAAACACATGCTCACCACAAGAGCTGAGAAGACTGTTTAGGGTTTTCTCCCCAAAACCTGCAGATACCTTTCCTCTTCTGGTCTGTGCACTCTGATGTTGTGATGACTTCTGGGTCAGACATTTCTCTCTTCTTTATTTTTGCTTCACTTACATGTCTTTCATAATAATTGTTGATTCAGGAACACCAAGAGCAAAAAAGTCTTGACCTCCCACTAGCCTTTCTGGATTTGATTACCAGCTCACCAATGGCTGATAGTCTGAGCAGAATTTAATGCTTTAATTTTCTTTGATAGCGACTATGAAGCACGTTACTTTTTTTTTTTTTATCCCAACTGGCAGCTCAACAAAGCCCTGCAATAAAAAGCTCCATTTGTGTAATAAACTGTTGTACAATCTACTACTTATGAACATGGGTCCTGAAAATGTGCAACCTTTCTGCACATTACATTAAACGCAAACCAGATGGGCACTTGAAAATCCTCCCCTTAGTTGCAAGGGGCCAAAGGAGCTGGTGGTCAGAGGGTCTACTTCACTATACAAATAAACAGAAAAGTTTAACTACATTGTTTTCCAAAATCAGCAATGGGAAACCTATGTGGAAACATTATGAGCAGTTAGCAAATGCTGCTGAACTGGAGTAGGCACAAAGGGAACTCTTCAGTTCTCTTAAATGCAACTGCCTAAAAGGCAGAGGTAGGGCCCATCTCATGCAGCTTTCCAGCTAGCGGCCTCTGTCCCACGCCTACAGACCTGCATGGCCTGCAGCCCAAGCTCTGACACTCAAACATGGTCACACATTGACACACTTGGAGAAACAAACGGATAGAACTAAACTCTTCCCCAGCACCTCAGCCAGAGCTGGTCACGTAAAGTCCAACAGTTGTTGGAGAGAAGTGGAAACCTCCAGGGGCCTGAGTCCATTCTGAGCAGGATTTCAAAGGCAGAGAAACCTCATTAGACCAGACAGACCTGATATTTAGGTAACTCTCTAACTGAAATACATCTCACTCTTGGAGTCCAAGAGGCTGGGAACAAGAGATCACAACACTGAACCAAAGGCTTTGCTGTATCTGGTGTACCAGAAGATGCCCAACACTTCGCACACTGAAACAGCTTTTGAGGAGCTGCTTGATAGCAAGTATCCTTCATATCCTCTCATCCTTACTTGTGATTACAAGAGGTACCACAAAATTCTTTCTGAAATCCACCTGGCCAAATTGACACTGGCAGAGATGCTTGGCTAAAGTGATTTATAGAGCTTGCATTGTTACTACCCTAGAGAGGTGTGCAGAGAGTCACACAGGAAGTGGACAGGGTACGGATAGTTTTGATGCAAGACAGTGAAGATGAGGAGAGAAAAGTGTTGTGCAGGTGTTACCATGGTATGGATGCCACAGATAAAGAAGAGGTGTGTGGCATGGTGGGATGAGATGAGATGAGAAGAGATGAGATTGAATGGAAAGCAGGATATTATCCTGAAGAAAATGACCCTGGAATCATTGATACTTTAGAATGCTATCACTGGCCCTAGTATCAAGACCCAAGAAGGTTTTATGTGAATCTGGAAGGGAAAAGTAGCTTATGAATCATGAGGCTGCTTAAAGTATTGTCAGGAACTCTTATCTCACCAGCAGGCAACTCAATTCATTACTGAGGCTGAGTGGAACATTTGCTGAGGGTGAAGTTGCCTTGTTGAGCTCAGAATGACCTGTCTTGGCAAGGCAAAGTGCAACAGCTTGTAGTACTCAGCCAAGGTGCATGCACAGTGGCTATGCTGGGAGCCCTAGTAGAGCTCATCTCTAAATCCAATATTATTAGTGACTTTCAAAAGGCCCACAGCCATATTTTCCTTAGGCTCTTCCAAAACAGCTGTTCACAGCTCAGCTCAGTTTAGGCCAGTGTGGCCCAGAACTTAGGAGGAAAAGATGTCATTGAGCATTTAAACACCATGGCCCATGGGACTGGGCACAGTTTTCATATGTCATGGCTGAAGGACTGACGATGTACCTTTCCAGAGGCAGAGAAGGAACAGAGACTGGGGAGGCAGGCATCAGGATTCCTGCTCAGTGTTTGCGTACCAGTATCCTCTGTTCTGAGCATATGTATCCAGTCCTGGGTTTTTGTAGGTCCTGCTGGATGGGCTTTCTCCTTTCTCAAAGGTGATTTATTTTTACAAACTTAAATGAAATCTCCTTAGCCATTTCTGAATAATACAAGAGTTAAAAAGACTATTTTCCTATTTAAAGATATTCTAGCTAGACTGTTTTCATTAAATCAAAGTTAAGTCAAATAAAGATTGCGATTTGAAAGTTCAGACTCAGGCAGGAGCTCTGAGGAGCAGTGCCTCTTGGAGGTGGGTGTCTGTCCAGGAGCACTGAACCCCACAGACCACCAGCTGAAGGTGGATCCCTGCTCCCTCCTGCTGCTTTCCTCCATGCGTTTTTGGGGTGCAGGAAAATGGCAAATACACTTGCACAGATAACCTTAATGGGGCTGGGAAACAAGCAGAGAGTGATTTGTTCTTTTTCCCCACAGCAATCCCACAGGTACTGACCCTTCCTCCTACAACAGAGGGCAGGATGGAAATTCCCTCCTGTGACCACCCAATGAAGGGTATCAAGCTGGATAAGGAGACTCTGCCTCAAGGGTACAAATCTGCTTCAGAACCATGGTGGCTTACAGGGCAAAGGCAGGTGACTGCTGTGTACCACTGCAGAGGATCACTGCAGAGCTGGAGATGCCTCCCTTCCTCATTTCCCTGCTGAATGCCCATCAGGCAGCTCCACAAGCCCAGCAGGAGCTGTCCCAGCAGGGACCATGACATCAAAGGCAGGCTGGGCATCACACAGATGTGTGATTCTTGGCAGGCCCACCTGCTCCTAGATGATGAGAGATGAAGGAAGATGGCTGTTCCTGAGTGGGGTCAGTAGGAAGAGCCAAGCCATCACATTATCTGAATGTGCTAAAGAAAGGGAAAAACAGCAAAAGAAGGAGAGCAAAGGGCTGGAGGGATGCCCAGCCTGTGCAAACAACCCATGCAGGAGTGCAGCCATGTCCTGACGGACCACCAAGCTGATGGCCATGCAGGGCACGAGTCTCCAAGAAACATAAATTGGAGAGCTATGGAGGAAATATGAATGTTATGCATCACCAGGCAGTCTTAACTTCGTCATTTCACCGGTCCACATCATTGTTGCCTTTGGTATCATGCTATCTTAAGAATACTTCGATATCTGAGACTGTAGAAAAAAAAGTGCACTCATTGGTGTGACTTAATCTGACTTTGGGCAGAGTTTGGGCCTGATTCTCTGCTGTGTTATTCCAGGCTGACACCAGTACGTTGCCATGATGACATCATTTGGATTATTTCTGATTTATAGTGATTGAGAAAAATTGGGTCCTGTACAATAATGCAAACAATCAGAGACACAAAGCAAAAATAGTGCCTTCAAGCTGCACTTTCACATTGCATGATATTTTGAACTCTTAATATTGAAAGCCTTAGAGTGCACAAAGAGGAATTTTCTTCATTTCTTATACAGTTGCCTGAAAGAAATGGCAAACAGCTCCTCAGCCTGGATATCCTCTGCAGAAGCTGAATGGTGAATGGTTGTTTTTCTTTTTCTATCAGCCTTCCTCCAATAGGTCTCCCCTTAAACCTGGATCAACATCTGCCAACATGACTAGTTTCTGGACACATGGCCAAGGAAACAAAAAGGATCCTTGCCAAGGCCCAGGCCAAGTTCACTGATCTGAGGCAAATTTACTGAACATGAGATTACTTGAAGCATCCAGCACTCTTTGAGAGCAGAACAAGTCTATCAGAATGTTTGCAACCAAAATCCTGCTCTACTGACCAACCTCACACCACACTTACTCCCCAACAAATTCCATTATTATCATCAGAACACCACTCTCTTCCTAAGACCTTGAAATGCTACATTTCAGCCCCAAATTATAGCAAGCACTTGGATGCAAAGAGCATAACAACTACCTCATGGCTGACAACAGTACTTAAGCACGACAAGAAATATTGAGCTGAGGAGCCACTTCCATTAAATCTTAAAATGTTGCCACCAGAAATACCACCAAAAGCACCACAGAAAAGAATAACGATGAGCCAGAACCCAGCACACACAGAAGATGCTGCTCAGCACTGATCCAGTTGTCACGCTCACTTTCCCCCTCTTGCTGCCACTGAGAGGCACTCACCATTCTTCCGCTCTGCAAAGGGGGGTGGCTGGAGCTTGGTGCCATCCCTCACTTCACCCGCAGCCTTTTCTTTGGGTGCCTTCTCTTCCTCATTTCCACCTGGTGCACTTTTGTGGTCCGAGCGGTCCTGTTTGATCACACCATTCATCACCGTGCCTGTAGGGTCCGGTCCAGACTCTGACTGCTCCACTTTGGATGCTCAAATGGAGAACCAGACACCAAAGTGACCTCTGGAAGAGAAGAAGAGCAGGTAAGAATGAAACGCCCAATCAGCCCTTGGGATCGTGAATGAAGACTGGCGTTTGTAAAGCAATCAGACCACAGATATGCATTAGCAACATTTCAGAGAGAGGCTTCAGGATTTGTTACTGCCTGCTTGATTCTGTCCACTGGGTCTGCATCACTGGCTGCTCTGCTGGACGAATTTCCAACCATAAGCACCAGATATCTGCAGAAAGCCAGGGGTGTTGTGAAAAAACACAGTCATGGGGAATCCGCCTAAGAGAGCACTTGAACTGTTCGAAATGCAGAACAGATCTATAAATGGAGAACAACCTTCCTTTATGTAAGGCTCTGGTTAGCTGAGCAAACTGGGTGGTGGAATTAGTGCACACAGCTCAGAAGAGGCTGCTAATTGCATGGTACAGGCAGTAAGAGAGGAATAGCAAAGAGCAGCTAGCCTTTATGTCAGAACATATACCAACATCCTGCAAAGTAAAATATGCATGCAAAATTATTCTTTGATTAACATACATAGTGGAGTTAAAGCCTTTATGAAGAATTTCACCAGATTGGGTAACAGTTTTCAAGAGTTCTTGACAGATGAGGAGGTTTGTTTGTTTACTACGTTGTTCTGCTACAAGTTTTAAGCAGGGTTTGTCAAAATGCTTCAGGAAAACCCCCAGGAAATTCTGTGTATTCACATTACACTTCCACAAAACATTTAGGGAAGGAACGAGCTTCCCTTGGTGGCACTCATACCTCACTGGAGGGAAGGGAAGGATCCAGCTCACACAGAAGTCTTTGTGGGGTGCATGCACATGACCTGGGAGGAGCTGCTGACACTAAGTGCAGCAGCACAGAGCTGCAAGAATCATTTCAATAAACTGCTCTGTGAAAAAAAAAAGCCCATCCAGATGCTAAGTGAAAGTGAATGCCTGTAAAAATCAGCACCAGCTCCTAATGAGTCCCATCAGGAAAGAGCTGAGGAGAGCTAAAAAAGGTCATTTGCAGAGAACAAGAATAGAAAAGTGCAAGATTGATTCAGTGATAAAATCTGATTTAATACAAAAAAACTTACCAATTTACTGTATAAGGAAGCAAGAATAGTGTGTTGTATACGATACCATCTTCTCCACGCTATGTATGCCAGGACTTTCTCACACCCCTCTTCCTACTCAGCACCACTCAGATTTTGCCATCTGCTTTCTCCTTCCATCCACCTCTCTGCCCGCCCTCTGTCCTGCTTTGTGCTGCACTTCATTGCCAGTGAGATTGTCCGGAGAGGTAGAGGGTGCCATGTCCTTGAAGGCACTCAAGGTCAGGCTGGGGCTCTGAGCACCTGATGGACTTGTGGATGTCACTGTCCCTTGCAAGGGGTTGCACTAGATGACATTTAGGGGTCCCTTCCAACTCAAATGATTCTATGATTCTCTGGGCTCATCCAGTGCCCATGCAGTGTGCAGAGAGGAAGTCCTAGGTGTGCCTGTATCTCTTTATTGCTTTGCAGATGGGACATAAGCTGTCCCCATGTGCAGCCCCTGGGACTGACTGTGTCCTTACCCAGCCCTGGTGGCTGTGTCTGAAATAAAATGCAGACTTGCTCAATCAGATTTCAGTCCTTACCTGGGCAAAACCCCTCACCAGTCCCTCCTTTCTTCCTTGTGCTTCCCACCGCTGCCTATCCCACTGGTCTTTGCAGCCCTTTCCCCGTCTCCTATGCACAATAATTTCCACAAAAGCCTGTTATGCTACATACTACACATGGCCATGCCCTGGAAACAGCCCTGCAGGCACCCAGACGGGCCAGGGCTTTGTTGCACCCCAAATCTTTGAACTGATGTTCTCTGTTTCCAAGTCCAAAGGAGTGTTTTTTAGCTCTTTTGGGCAGCTCGTGTTCTCCTCTCTAGTGGTCGATTGCTGTACTGCCCCATCCCCATTGCTGTACACCCATCACCGGCGGCTGTAGGGTTGTAGACCCACTTTGGCAGCGTTATCTCCAAAGTTTTCCATTCAATTAATGACTAACGTGGAGCATGCAATGAGTGTTTACATTACTACTTTAAAATATACATTTTTTAACTTTTAGAAGTTGCTGATATAATGCATCTTTCCAGTGGAATAGTGGGTGATGACAGGACAATCCAGCAAACTGCATCTGCTTACAAAAATGAGACTTTGTTCAACTGAACACTAAATCTTTGATAAATTAGTCGGGGCTTTGGTGACGTACATGTTGAACCAATATGACAGTTTTATATGGATTATTATTATTAATGTTTTTGAAAAATAGAGAGTGTGAGCCAGACATCCAGTGCTGAAGCTGCAAGACCACCAGCAGAGGCAAGAATCTTTCAGGAAGGCTTCTTCCAGGCACTGTGTACGATCTTTTTGCACTCAGAGCATATGCAACATTTTAATCTGCAGTGATTGTACCGAAGTCCTTTCTGTCTGAGCCAGGAGGTCACGCTGCGGCCCCGGCCATGCATGCTTTCACAACACACTCAAGTACCACTGATTCAATGGTGTTTTTTTTTTGTTTTTTTTTTTCTGAAGTCAAATTTGGCCTCAAAACATTCCACATTGTTCACTCACTTCAGCCTGAACTGATTGTATTTATAAAGCTTAAGCACACTTTTGAGCCTCAGAGCACATCTCCCATCAACCACTAGTGCCAACACATAAATTGCAAGGCTGTACACAGTACAGACTGTAACCCATCTCTTTCTGCCTGTAAATACCAAATTCATAAAGCTGGACTACCATGGTAGCTCGTGGGTGCTTACTTCCACAACACTGGCTGCCCTCTGGAGCTGAGGCTTGGTTCACAAGGATCAGTACTGCTTCCCTGTAGATGAGCAAGTCTGATGATACAAAAAGAGCAGCTGAGGGAACTAGAACTGTTCGGTCTGGAGGAGGTTTAGGGGAGACATTACTGCTTTCCACAACTGCTTGAAAGGAGGTTGTGGGGAGGTGGGGATTGGCATCTTCTGCCAGGTAACAGGACAAGAGGTGATGGCCTCAAGTTTTGAGAGATCTGGAGCACAAATCTTATGGGGAGCAGCTGAGGAAACTGGGATGGGTCAGTCTGGAGAAGAGGAGGCTCAGGGGAGAACTCTGTGCCTCCTGACAGGAGGTTGTGGCAAGATGGGGGTTGGCCTCTTCTCTCAGGTAACAGTGAGAGGAAAAGTGGTGGCCTCGAGTTGCACTAAGGGAGGTTCAAATTGGATATTAGGAAAAAATCATTGTCAGGAAGAGCGGTGAGGCACTGGAATGGGCTGCCCAGGGAGATGGTTGAGCCACCATTCCTGGAGGTGTTCAAGGAACAAGGAGATTGGCAGTGAGGGACATGGTTTGGTAGGCATGGTGGGGATGGGCTGATGGTCAGACCAGATGATCTTAGAGGTCTTTTCTAACCTCGATGGTTTTACAGTTCTATGATTCTATGTGTGCCCAGAAATAAAGGCTCAGATGAGGTTCAGGTTGTGTCCCTTTCCCAAGGACGTTGGCACTTAAATCTAGTGTCTCCTGAGAGCTACCCTTGTTGGTCTGGAAGGAGCACCATGAGCACATCCTGCTGGCCAGATCTTTTCCTGGGGTAGATCAGGCAGGTCTGCAATGGGCAGGCAGTTCATCTCATGCACGGCTTTTCAGGAAAGCCCACAGACTCCCCATCAGATGCAATATATGCATCTCACTGCCACTTCCTAGTGCTCTTTCTGCCAAAGCTGAGGGCATGGGAACACCACCCTCCAACACCAATGGAGAAGAGAGAGAAAACATACCAACCATGGCATCTCCAAAGCTGGAGATGGATGCTGAACTGGAGCCCAAGCCCTGCATCCCTTGGATACCTGTCTGTCCCTGGATCAGTGACTTGCATGGTGGCTGTGGCAGCCTTCCTCCAACTCTTGCAGCAGGAGATAATGCAGTAACACACCCAGCCAGGGTGCTCACCTGTTCCCCCATCTCCCCAGATGGTGCAATTCCCATCAACAAGTGCTGTTTGAATTCACCCAGCATTAGCTGGAGGAAGAGCCCAAGCCCCCACCCACCTTTACATGTAGCCTCAGGCTCTGCACACTGCTCTGGGTTTGTTAGAGTTGGAAAGGAGCTGTTTTCCCACACTGCAAAACTTTCCGTGATTTTTACAATATTTCCTTATCCCAAATGGGGATAAAATAAACATGAGGAAAAAAAAAAAAAAAAGAAAGAGGAAAAAAAAGGGGTAGCGGGTCAGTCATGAATTTTCATAGTATAATTTTAGAATATTTTAATCTTTAAAAAATTTTAACCTCTTCTTAGTAAAAATTAACAAAACCAGTAAGATTAAAACTGGTCTTAAGAAGTGGGGGAAAAAAAAGAAAGAAAAAGAGGAAGAAAAGAATGAGTCTCCTTAGAGTAGCATCTGTCACACTAACCACACAGCACTCCAGGTGTGATCACTGCTGAGCAGAACAATTTGGGATACTTCTGCCTCACTGACAGTCAGGGTGCAGACCCTACAGGGCACAGATGCTATGTTAGTTGGACTGGTAGCATCTGCATAGGCATGAGAGCCATGTTTGGACACTGGGCTCCTGCCTGTAGCTTGCACAGGCTGAGGCACAGCACCTGGAACAAACATTGCTTCTTGCCACCAGAAATGGCCAATGAATGGTGCTGCTAGAAGGCCAGACCCTTCCTTATGTTGCTGTGATGCAACACTGATGGTTTTGCTCTCTGCTTACTCTCTGCTCAAGACACATCTATGCTTAATCTTGTTCACTTTCCATCTTCTCATATTTTCCCCTGTGCCACCTTCTGCATGCACCGAGACAGGAATAAGCAGAGCTTACATTTCCTCAGATACTGGATCCATCTGAATCCTCCCCTGCTTTCTTGTTTGCTCTGTCAGCTGTTGAAGTGGAAGTAAATACATTTCTCTCTAATGCACGTGCAGTGCTGCTTAGGCAATCCTGGCCCACCATAAAACCTTAAATACCCAAAGAGAAAAACCAGGAGAGAGATG